TTGTCAGCCCTACACGCTGGCCGCCCTTTACTCCCAAGAATATTTCAAGAATATTCCTGGTACTCATTTCTGTTAGAGGTTGAGTCAACCCCAGGGCCATAGTATGGCTGCAAGGATTAAGTAAATTGAAAAAATTCAATGACCTCATCAGGACTTGATCCCACGACCTTCTGGCTTGTAACATGGTGCCTCAACCAACTACGCTAGAGCATGCCCCACAGTATGCAACACATAGACGACAAAAGTTAAATCACCAGCTTAACACTATATGACATGTCTTGAAACACCTTAAAGGGTACATCACAACCTGAACAGGCAAGCTTATGAAAAGTCCTGCATGTTCAACAAGTTCTCCATCCAGTATGGCCATCTTGGTTCCCACCCTGTTTTGGAAAGAGAATCTATGGCGACTTAGTGACCCATGGCACTATCAGATCATGACACAGACACAGTTCGGTTTAAGGAGCAACTCAGGAAAGTAAATCTGTACAGAACTGTGGCACAGAGAAGGCAGGACAGGGATTTTGCAGTGGAAAACAGGAGTGTGGAGACTGATGTGTTTCAGGAGAAACAATGAACAGGAGATGTGCCCTTTATATAGCCAAGAGGAAGATTGGGGTCACATATTTAGGCATGAAGAAACAAAGACATGACAATACAAGCTCTAGGACATGAGGTTTAGGTGTATCTATAACAGAAATAGACAGTATGAGGACAAGAGGATGCAAGAATACAAGAATATAGAGCTATGATAGGAAACAGGTATGATTAAATATGGAGAGAAATGGGGCTGGATGGCAACAACAGCACAGGAGTGAGGTATAAATAAATCTAGATGACCAGTAATCAGTAGAGGCAGTAACAGGATATGTACAACTTAAATCTTAATGCATAACAGATGGGCTCTGTAGTATCAGAACAGCAATTTAAATGGGAATCCAGAGTACAGCACCAAGCAATGGACCTCTGAAACCCTAACAGACTCAACACTGTATCAGCTCCCAGACACTACAATGTTTGCAGACATATTTTTAAATTGCATAACATTACCTGTAAGTGTGTAGTGTTGGAAGCACTACATGAGAGTTATGGTCCACACTTCCGTTCATCATCCGTTGTGGTTCCTCACTTCTAGATTCCAGGTACAGTCGTTCCACTTGTGTAACATCAGGATAATGCTTGTAATAACCATACGAACAAAGATTCTGTGAACAAGACAATCACTGTTACACTCCTTGACATTTCTCCAACTATAAAAAACATAATCGATATCACTGTCTTCTGGGATGTGATACCACATACTCAGTTTGCAGTTCATTTATCGTTGCTGTCACAACTCAACACTATGTACCTTCACATGACTGAATGACAATGAATAATGAACCAGAAACGATACTGAATGGAGCAAGCCTGGCCTAATTTTAAGTACTATCCTCACATTTTCTTGGATGAACCAACAAAAACCATAACAACCTCAATCAGGATGGCTGGTGCCTGGCTGAGATTTGAACCTGACACCTCCTGAATACAAGTTATGAGCATTACCGCTTGCACCAGTTTGCCGTGTGCTGAAACTGCAGTCCTGTAGATCATTACTGATCTTCAGAGGAACCTCCAGCTTTGACAGTTGGGGATTAAGTGAAATCATGTAACATCTAACATATATACATTTCCTTCTTGCCTCCGTGACTGCAAATATCTGTGTCATACTTTATTCTATTTCTTTCACAGCCAGAACATCCAAAAGTATAGACTCAAATTAGTTTGACTGCAGGCCGCACCATAGCTCAAGCGGTTAGTTGCTGGCTTCCCACCATGGAGGTCCGGGTTTGATCCCAGGTCTGTTCAAGTGGGATCTGTGGTGGACAAAGTGGCGCTGGGGCAGGTTTTCTCCCGAGTACTTTGTTTCTCCTGCCAATCTTCATTCCACCAACTGCTCCACAATCACCCTCACCTATCATGTGGGGCTGGTACAATAGGCCAGAAGTAGCCGCAGTACAAGGGACATAGTCCCATCCCACTAGCAATAAAAAAAATAGTTTGACTGAAAAAAAGGAATGTAGCAAAACACGAAAATTTTCTAAAATCACGTGACACCAATTATAATTATTTGTGATATTATCTAACAACTCGCTTTTCAAAGACAACTGTCCACTTGAATGTGACACTATTCAGCCTTTCGCATCCTTACCAACATGCAGGAGGACTGCTCCACCAAGATACTCGCAGTCACATCCCAGAAGACAGTATTCTCTGCAGTCACCGCAGCAAGAATCTCAATTCTCAACTCACCTCTTGGACGTGAGTCTGATGTATTTCAGGCTGGCTGCTATATAAAATTCCAATTTGATGACTAGGTCTAATGTTTAAATTCCCTGAGGTGTGTCCAGCTCCATGGTACTTCTGTTGCACTGCTGTCTCATAGTCAGGGGCGGGACGGTAGGATGGTAACAGGGCTCTACAAACGTGCAACAATGGTGAGTTCCTCAGTGTGTCCAAGTAAATGTCTGGACAGTACCTCAAATTAGGAAATAACCAATTCCTTCCACATTTCTTTCAAATCCATCATTCACTAACTGTCAAATTATTTGACACACATTCTGAGACATTGGCAGTGTCCTTCACTAAATCATAATATATAAATAAATATATAATCAGTGGAAATGTTCATTAACTTCAGTATGAATCAGAAGACATAGTTAGCAATGCTTCTGACTTGTATTTTCAGTACCTGGTTTGAATCTCGACTAGAACACTGCATATCCTCATTGTGGATTTTCATGGTTTTCCTGTCTCCAGAAGAAACCACCAGCACACATTTTAATTTAGACCATGACTGCTTCCTTCCACATTAATTCCTATTCATTTTTCACCATCACCTACTCACTTGGTATTATCCAGTCTGTGTTAAGGACAACTTCACCATTTGGAAATGTACATGAATGATAAAGACAATGAATGTATATCTATGAACAGATCAAAGCAATAAGAATGAACTGACTTTACCTTAGCTTGTCGATGTCTGCAGGTGTAGTAAGGTCAAGGCAAGATGTCGACTGAGCTCGCTGTACTACAGAAGGTGGCATGCCCCAAGACACAGGCCCTCTGCTAGTTTCTCTGTTGTCAAGCTCTTCGCAGCTCTCTGTTAAATGACTATCCTATAAAAATATTGCACAGGTCACATCTTTGAATAACTGCAGCAAGAAATGGAATGCAAAGAGCTCCTAAACTACACCACAATAAATTCTCATTCTTTTTCAATAACATGCACAAAATAAGCTGTTTTTGACTAAACTGGATACGCTGATCCCAAAAACAAGCCAATCACAGTGACTGCGTGGTCTAAGGCATGAACTTTCTTCGCCTGCTCAAACACTGGGGTTGTGGGTTCGAATCCCACTTGGGGCATGGATGTTTGTGTGGGTTTATTGTGTTTGTGATGTCCTGTGTGCAAGTAGTGGCCCTGCGATGGGCTGATCCCCCATCCAAGGAGTCCTACTAACTGTGTAAAAATATCAAGAAACTATAAAAGCAGCCAAGGCCCAACAAAGGACTGTAGAGCCACAGACAGATAGACAGATTTATCCTCAAATTACAGGCAAAAAGTTGTAACCCCTACAATCTTTATGTTATCCTCCAATTTCTTTTGTATGCAAGATACACAGAAGTACATACCGCATATAACACAAATTTAAATAACATCACTCACTTTAATAAGACCATACTTTTATTTAACTAATAAAATGCTACTGTCGACAAGAACACTATGAAAAGACACAAAAGTGAGAAAAACACCATTCTGGCTCAAAATTTAATTCACAAACTTGACATGAATAAAAACTTCTGAGTCTAGATTTTGAATCAGCGCATCACAATGACCACAAAAATTCATACCAAAAGTAGTCACCAGGAACAACTAAGACATAGACATGGGGATAATATTAAAATGGATGTTAGTAAAATAGGCTGTGAGGATGTGAAATGAAATGAAATGGCTCAAAACTACATGCACTGGTAGACTGTGGTACTAGCAGTGTTGAACTTGTGGGTTATGCTGCCAGTTAAGACTCTCCTTACCTCTAAGGCACTGTGAAAGAGAGTTTGAGCCATGTGATCCCCTAGTTGCACATTCTGCATGGGCTCTGCTGTCTGCTCATTTTGTATGTAGAGTGTGTGCTATAACATACAGAGTATCACTTAACATATCAAGGACTTAAAGTACCTCAGTAAAAACAAGGGTTTTGGTTGGAAAATAATGGCTGCATAAGACAATATGTGTAACGGGAAAGACAATGTGGTGTGTTATGAAATTTTACAGTATACTACATTAAGCAAGCTGGCTAAAGTGGCAAACACTTCTGAATTGCATTTAGGAGGTGCCTAGTTCAAATCTCAGCTGGGACATAATCCATCCTTAGATTTTTCACAGTTTTACTCAGTCCCTACAGGCAAATTCCAGGACAGTACCATCAATTAGGTCATAGCTGGAAGAATGGATAGAACAAGGATACTGATGGGTTAGGGTTCACAATTAAAATTTAAAGGGAAGAATACTACAGAACAAGATTATTCAGACAGGTTATGGTAGGTATCATGAAGAAAGGAAAAAGCTGGCAAAAAGTCAAAGAGAGAAGACTGTGGGAAGAAAGAAAAGACTGGAGCCTTCTCATCCATGAACTCATATAAAACAAAAACAATGTTACAAGAAAATTATATACCTGATGCACACACATCCTCCATACATATTTTGCTGATTCTGGATCAGGAAACTGGAAATGAACTGTTTCATCTGGCAGCTGACATTCTATCCCAAAGTTTCGCTTGTGGTTAATCACATTGGTTATATCTTTCCACCTGTAACAATTTCGAAGAATGTTACAAATACAAACAAAAAGTAAGCAACATAATTATTGAAGAAAGCAGTCTTCTGGGATGTGGCACTGTGTACATGTGGTGTTAACCGACGTTTCGGAGGAACATATCGCCTCCATCTTCAGGGTAGAAGGAAAAATACAAGAAATCCACAAGCAAAGAGACTGTGAGAACCGGTACAAGCAGACTGCGGATTTCTTATATTTTTCATTCTACCCTGAAGATGGAGGCGATACGTTCCTCCAAAACATTGGTTAACACCACATATACATGGTGCCACATCCCAGAAGACTGCTTTCTTCATAGTCACCACCGTGAAAACCTCAAATCTTACAACATAATTATTACTGATAAAACCATATCATAACTGCGCATACAGCAATAATTATTGCTGTATGCGCAGTTATGATATGAATGATTATAATCATTCATATTTCAAAGTGCCTGCATTTCCTTGGAACATACATTCAGAAATCAGAGAGCGCCACTGCTCAGGCTCTTAGATATTAGCTTCTCACCATGGAAGGGGGAGGGGGGGAAAAAGAAGAGCCACAGCAGCAGAAGGAGATGAACATATAATTTTACTCACTTATAAAATTTTGAAGCCTGGTTATTTTCATAACCAACAATTATTCCCATCAAGGACACCCCTATGATGACATCAGCACCTGTTTCATCCTGAAAGCCAGTGATCACATTACTTTCAACTGTAGTTAAAACACATCATCATACTATTTCAAGAAAAAATGTAAAGCTGCCCCTGTGCATGAAGATCAATGGGGGACGGGAGGTACAGCTCAACTATTCTTGACCTTGGCCCTAGATGGAGATGGGTGGTCAGCTTCAGTCCCTGGCCACTTTACACCTGGAGAAACAGCCCCATTACCAATTGGACAGGAGACTGACTGGCCCCACAGAAGGTCCTGGACACTGTGCGGCATAGAAAAAATCTCTAATTCTGCCGGGAATTGCACCCTGGCCATCCAGCTTGTAGCCTGTCACTAAACTGACTAAGCTATCTCAGCTCCAAACATTTCAAGTAAACAGCATTGTTTAACCACAGAGGAGTCTTACATATAAAATTATTACACTTCATGGAAGAAAATTTTAAGGAAAACTAACTAATCACTTATCCATGTAACTTTCTTTCCCATCTTTTCACAATGACCCACTTTAGACCAACAGAGTGCTTTTTGGGAAAAACAAACACCAAACAATTCATATTTGCTCTTCCTCAATCACAACACATTGGCTCCAGAAATAAATTTTTCCTACATGCCACATAATTACTAGAATTTTCAGTGCACCTTTTTCCTTTTTTTTTTTTTATTTCTAGTGGGGTGGGACTAAGTCCCTTGTACTGCAGCCACTTCTGGCCTATTGTACCAGCCCCACATGATAGGTGAGGGTGACTGTGGAGCAATTGGTGGAATGAGGATTGGCGGGGGAAACCGAAGTACTCGGAGAAAACCTGCCCCAGCATCACTTTGTCCACCACAAATCCCACTTGACCAGACTCGGGATCGAACCCGGGCCGCCTCGGTGGGAAGCCAGCGACTAACTGCTTGAGCTATGGCACTTCAGTGTATCTTACAAACATGGTTCAATAAATCCACCTGTCCACTCATCCATGATAAGTGAAAAATTAAGGAAGATGAATTGAAAATCTTTAAATGTATTAATTAAAATTAACTTCTGGGGGTACTGGTATCCTCTGCCGACCATCTCTCTCACGATCACCCTGCTGGGGGAGACAGAATCTGCCCTATTCTTCCCCCACTTCAGAAATAGATTCTGTGCTCTTGCCTAGCTCAAGACAGGTGAGAGAAAAGTCAATTCAGCCCATATGTGGAGGCACTAGAAATACATACCTTATCTTCAAAAGTTTCCTGGCCATACCCATCCAGCTGCTGTGCAGCCAGAATGTAATACTCCTCTGCTGTTCCTTGGGACAAACCAGCCAGAGCTGCATGCTGAAGTATCACTGCTTCTGTCAAACTTTCCAGGTTGTCATCTGATATTAGGTGCTGGCATAATCACCAAACCAAAGATTAATTTTCATCAGCAATGTCCAAACAGAAAAATGTGACCCTACGACAGTTCTAAAAATAAATAGCCAGTGTCTAGAAAACCGAAATTAAAGGCCGTGGGGATTCGTTACACTGACCACCTGAATCCACTAAAGTTGGCACTAACTTCGCCACTAAGTGGTGGTTGCTCAGTCGGTATAGTTCGCTTGAGGATTAAAACCAAAGAGTTTGTTTTTGTTTTTTGTTTTCTTGTCTCAAAATTTACACTTGAGTGTAATATGCAATGGTACATAAATAATGGAATTTCTTAGAAGAAATGATAGAATAAAAATGTACACTATCTATGGTCTTGCACCCAAAATAATACACATGGAGGACAATGTTAACTGCTAACCTTAATAACATGTAGAACTTCAGGTTATTTAACAATGTTATATCAACTGCATACAGTAAACTGTGTTGAACTGTATGATAACAAATTAGAGAGGAAGTCAAAGGAAGCAGCTGTGGCCTATTTTAATGCAATGGTCAAGTGTTCTGTAATACGTGCTCATTGATGTTGCATGAAAACTTCATTCAGGGACATAAAAATTCAAATCTGAGACAACTCAGATATAAAGCAAGTGTGCCAACTATTCAACCACAACATGACTCTATGTTGAAGAAAGCAGTCTTCTGGGATTTGGCGCCGTGTATATGTGGTGTTAACCGACGTTTCGGAGGAACGTATCGCCCCCATCTTCAGGGTTGAAGAAAAAGTATAGGTAAATCTGCAAGCGACAACACCGTGAGACACGGTAAAGCAGACTGAAGAGGATACCGTTAGAGCAGAGAGGGAAGGGGATGAACTGCGAGTAAACAAGTGAAAGCAGTGGTGTGGGAGGGGTGGGGGAAGGGAGCC